TTGATGTCTCCCTTTCTTTTCCCTGCAGATATGTGCCTAGCAGGGGGCTCCTAAGCTTGGCTGCACTACTTTGCAGGAGGGGGATAGCCATGCCTTTCCTTCCTAGATTTTTTTACTCTGTGGGGGTGGATGGGTTCTGCTTGGCTGCAAAGCATCTCTGGTGCTCAGCTCTTGCTTGTCTAACTCCCAGGCTAATGTCTTCACAGGAGACACAATCCAGAACTGTTCTCTGCAACCCCTGGAATGCTAGCTGAGCTGGGTGGGACCCAGCAAACCCCTTGTTGTGCAACTTTCTGAGCTCCCTGCCCAGCTGTATTCAGTGGGAACAAACTGTGCTCTCAGTCTAGTCTCTTTGCTGGCAGAACAGCTGTGTGCATGGTCTTTGCCTAGCCACTTTTCAGCTCCTTTTTAAAAAGACTCTATGTGCTACCCATACCACAGTTCTGTGTTACTGTCTAGTTCTCTGCACAGATCCCCTCCTCAAAAAGCAAAATGTCTCTCATGGTCACAGCTGGCTGCAGTCTGACGGTGTGTGTATGTGTGTGGCCTGGGTCTCCCATATATCTTCCTGAGTCTCTCCCAGTTAGGGTTGGGATCTGTGTGCAGGACTAAGCCCCCCTGCTCTGAGACAGGAGGGAGCTCCAAAGCTATGATTTCTGTCTGGCCTTTCTGCTGCTGCCAGGCACCATGCATAGGGTATTTCCCTTTCAATTTTTGACATCCCCATATTGAACAGTATGAAGTGTCTTCTGTATTCCTTGGCTTCAAAACTTCCTGTCAGCTAAGATTCCATTTATTGTTGGGGTTAACTGTTGGAAGATCAGCCAAACATCTGAGTTGGGGGCAAGATCAAGTGGACTCAGCTTCTACCTGCTCGGCCACCATCTTCAACCTCTACAACATTTCTGTTAGTTAAAATATTTCATAGCTGACCCTGGATTAGTTTACTCATTTTCATAGCTATATAATATTCCAGATGTGGGTATTGCAGACTTTATTTCACCATCTCCCTATTTATGAGCATTTAGGTTACTTTCAAACAGTATACACTAAACATAGTAAGATGTTTGTAAGCTTGAATACATGTGCTTTTATTTCAATAGGAGAAATTCCCCAAAGTGGGATTTCTAAGTCAGAAGTTATTGTTTTTTTTAAAATATTTCAAATAGTGACAGGTTACTCTCCCAGTAGGTTATAACAGTTCACATTATCATTTTTCTGCATCCTCACCAGAGAAGTGAAAAATGGTATTTCACTGCCTTAATTTATATTTCACTGCTTAACAGTAATATTTTTCATGTTTTTATATATTTATTTGCCATTTGAGTTTCTTCCTCTCTGGTTGGCCTGTTCATTATCTAATAAGAATCTGGGTTTTAAAGACAGACAGCCTTAGATGCCAGGCTCCTGTTTAATGTTATGAGTTCCTAGCCAAAGTGTTTACCACTCATGCCTCAGTGTTTTCTCTTCTAAACAAGGATAATAATAGTATTTGCCTCCTAAGTTCATACAAAATGTAAATGTGCATTTAGAATGATACCCAGCATAATAGAGATATTGGTTGTTATCAATATTCATTTTTATCATTATGATGCTTTCAGATGTTTATTATTCCCTGGCTCTGGGAGCTGGTCCTGAGCCTCATTTTCTTACACTTTAGATTTACTTGGTTATTTCTTCAAACACTATTTATTGAGCATACCCTATGTTTAATGTAGCCTACGCTTTTTGGAGAGATGGGAGGAACATTAAGAAGCTGAGCTTGCTTTTTATTTCATAGCAGAGCTGTCAGTGTATGTAAGGTGTATTGTAAGTGTTTCCATTATTTTTAGCCTAAAGTTGTCCCTTCTTTCCCCTTAAATGGCTTGTCCAGGGAAGACAGTATCTCTTGGATATTAGTGGATATTAGTAGCAACATCAGGATGAGTCTCTTTTGGCTAGTTGTTGAATTTTTTTTCTTTTTATGTGTCTGCATCCCTGTTTGTTTTCTGTCTGTAGGGAGATCATAGCAGTCATTTTTGCTTATTCATTTCTCATCTCCTAGCACAGTCAGCTTGAGACAACAAGCATTTTTCAGAAAGGCACAAGGAATTGCCTCTACATTAAGAACCTATTGCTCTGCTTCAGTGTCTGAGACCATAGTATTCACCTTTGTTGAAGGACTCAACAGAATTCATGAGTAGAATGCATTACTGTTGGTAGTGGCTCACAACACTTCATACTGATGTTTTTGTCAGGAAACATTATGGCTCTGTACAAAGTAAAACAAATTCCTTGATTTCAATAAAGTAGATTCTATGTACACATGTCCTGGCTCTTTTTTATTTACTTTTTTATTGTCACCCAGGGATTTTTTTTTTTCATTTCTTTTAGAGAGAGAAGAAGGGAGAAAGAAAGAGAGAAACAGCAATGTGAGAGAGAAACATCGATTAGTTGCCTCCTGTACATGCCCAGGCTGGGGTTCATTTGTACCTGGACAGGGGATTAGACTGCTGCCTAGACATGTGCCCTCACAGGGAATTGAACCCACAATTTCTTCAGTTATAGGATGATGCTCCAACCAACTCAGCCATAGTGGCCAGGACTGTTCTGGCTATTTTGATGTGAAAAAAATAGGAAAGATGATAGGAACCTGCTTCAGCCATAGGGGTATGTTCCTTGTAAGCATGAACAGATGATTTGTAGGAATCTTCCTTAACCTCCAGAAGCCTGAAAGATCTCGTAGATAGCATCAAGATAAACTTTGTTGTGGCAAGAGACTTGAGCTATCATCTTGTTCACTATTTTTACTCAAATGAAAATGGAGTCCAGGGAGGCAGAGTGGCTTGATCAAGTTCACACCACTAGTCAATGACTGAACTACAACTAGAATCCAGTTTGTTAGTATCCTGGTGGTCATTTCATTTTGCTAGACCTGTAGACAGTTGGTAAAATAGTTATGATAGAATTTGGTCCATTGCTAAGAACTTGTTATAATAACTGCATGCCTGAGAAAATTAAGACAACGCTCAGTTTCTCATTAGCCATGATTGGAACTGTAATATTAGGCCTAGGTCAGCCACCAGCAGAGAGGTCAAAATACCCTCTGCTGACCCATCACATGCTGAGATGTGACAGATGTGACTTGTGGTCTTTGCAGAAAGCATGTGAGAGAGGACATTCTATTCTGACTCTATAAATTTAACCACTGAGAGTGCGAGTAACAAGAACAGCATATAGATTAGGGGCACCAGGGGTGAGAAATAATGCAGTTGGAGATGACATCTGTCTTGTGAATATCTTAGAACAAGGGTGTCAAACTCATTTTCACCGGGTGCCACATCAGCCTCGTGGTTGCCTTCAAAGGGCCAAGTGTAATTTCAACTCCTTAACAATTAAGTAGTAGTTACATTTATACAGTCCTAAAATTATTTTGTCCCTTTGAACATAACTGCAAGGTTGATGTGGCCCTTGGTGAAAATGAGTTTGATACCCCTGTCTTAGAAGCTGCTTCTTTCTGTTCCCAAATCCCACTTCTCCATTCTCCTGCTTGCCACCATATATCTCTTTCCTTCAAAGGCTTCTCTTCTCCAAGTCTGTGATTCCAGCCTTCATCCCTACCTTGTGCTCAAGTTGTTTCTCTAGCTGTATACCAGATGTTTCTAGTTGGAAATCCCACAGGCATCTCCAGACTGTAATGTATCACCTACTGTATAGACTTGTTCTTCTCCTTAATTACCTGTCTCAGTTAATGGATTGACCAGTCAGCAGGCTACTCAAGCTAGGAATGCGGAATGTATTATGGGCCTTGCTATGAAATGGAGAGGCAGTTTTGATAACCCAGGAGAAACCATGGGCCTCCTAGTCTTTCTTCCAATCCATTTCTTCAGCCCTATCCAAGTGATGCTTCTCAAGTGCATAACTTGTTATTTTATTCTTTTGCTTAAAATACTGCAGGATTTTTTGGGGGGTGGCAGGGGGTGGCAGGGGGTGAGGGGATGGATTTCAAATGAAGTTCTAGTCCTTCACATATATCCCAAACTCATTTTCCTTTACTTTTTCCACTATGCCCAAACATTCAGTCATAGCAAATGATTTAGTAATTTCTCAGATGTAATTTTCACCTTTGTGTCGGCAGTACCTCCTCCTAGAATGTCCTTCTCTCCTTTTTTGGCCAAATGTTCTGGTACTTCAATGTAGGCCTTCCTCTGAGAGCTTTTTCCTGACTGCCCCTCTTGATCCAGGTTAGCACTCACTGTATCTTATGTTTTCTTTTGCCATTGTTATTGCCTGTTTATATTGTCTTCCCAACCAGTGTTCCTTGGGAGCAGGAACTTCATATCATTCATGTTTGTGTCCCTAGTGCCCAGCACATAATAGGTGCTCAGTAAATGTTTATTTAATGAATCAGCAATGCCCGCTCCGTGCCCCAGACACCTATGGCTGTCCTTCAGTGTCTGCCATGGTTTTCTCTCTCCTGACATTCAAAACATATTCCTTTCTCTTCTGTGACTTGTACCCTCAGTCTTAAGTGGACCCTAAATTTTTCTACTGTCTGGGCTCATATTCATATTCAGTGTCTATCTGTTCATGCTATGGGTATGCATCTTATTCATTCAACATAAAATGTTTGTTTTCCTCCTTTTTGCTGTCTAAATTCCACCATTTCTTTCCAAGCCTGGTCCCTATTCCATTAATTATGAAGTCTTTGTTGAGAGGAATAATTCTTCTCTTTTACTTTCTTTGTATTGGTATTGACTCTCCAGTTGATTGTCAACATCATTGGCCAGGTATGAGGTATCACTAAACTCTGTTTCTTCCCCGAGCAGTGTCACTGTGTGCCATACTTGACAGTCTGTCCTTATTCATTGACATGAAGCTGACTCCCCAAGCTGAGGGCAGAGTCATTTAGCAACCTGGCTTTTCAGGATTGGGCAGCTTTCAGACATACTTAGACATGCCTGTAAGAAAAGGGGTCATGCTTTAATATAATTTGTATTTTTTGTTTATCTTGTTATCAGAGTACCCGAGAAGCAGAAATCAAACTGAAAAGTGAAAGCAGAGTTAAACTTTTTTACTTGGATCCAGATGCCCAGGTAGGAACTATGTTAATGTTTAAAATTTAAAACTAAGTTTGGGAAAGAAAACCTTTGACAGGTTATTTGTTTCTTTGTTTGTTTATTTTGGATTTACAAGCAATATAGCAACAAGATGGGAAATTCAGGGGGAGTAGGAAAAATAAAAGCCTATAATTTTATCCCCATAGTACAACCATTGTGAATATTTAATTTTCAGTAGATTGTTGAAAATTGAGACAGATTTATCTAGAGACATAGTCAAGAGCACAGAGAACATACAATTTACCCATGAAATAATAGTCAGAAAATAACAAGCAGCATTGCAGATGCCCAACAGACAGTGCTATTTTCTGACTAGCAGTTCTGACTTTTCCCCCCACTTAACGTTTTTTGTTTCTTCACAGAATTCATAGCCATATATACTTTTTGCTTTTTGACAATGTTTTAGTTGAGATAAAGTGTGTGTAACATGAAATTTACATTTTAATCCTTTTTAAGTGCGCAATTTAGTGGTTAAGAACATTTACAATGTTGTGCATCCATCACCAGTATTCATTTCTAGAATTTTTCATCATCCCAAACAGAAACTCGTTATCTACTAGACAGTAATTTCCCCATTCTTCTTTCCCCTCAACCTAGAGGCCTCCATTCTACTTTCTTTTTTTATTTTTTGCATTTTAAAGTATATTTTATTGATTATCTTTGTGAATCTGCCTATTTTAGGAACTTCATATAATGTGAAATCATATAATATTTGTCTTATGGGTTAGGCTTGTTCCACGTATTATAATGCTTTTGAAGTCCTTCCATGTTCTAGTGTGTGTAAGAATTTTATTTTACTGTGGCTGAATAATATTCCATTGTGTGTGTGTGTGTGTGTGTGTGTGTGTGTGTGTGTGTACATATATATATATATATCATATTTAGTTTATTCATTCATCTGTTCATAGATACTGAGTTACTCATAAGCATAATTTTTAAGTTCTGTATGATAACACATTAAGTAGATATATCATCATTTTTGATCATTTTTATAAACTATATAAATTTATAAAATACTAACACTATTGTGAGTAATGAGTGTTATATGGCTTCTCCATATGGCAGTTTCCTTAGGATACTGTACATTGATAATGGGATTTTTTTAAATGTTAGCGTAATGTACTTATATGTTTACTTTTTTTTTTAAGAAGTCTGACTTCTCATCAGGTGAGCCAGAAGCGAAACCATTTGAAGAGAAGTTTGGAAAAAGAATTCTTGTCAAGTGCAATGACTTATCTTTCAATTTGCAATGCTGTGTTGCTGAAAATGAAGAAGGACCTACTACAAATGTAATTTTTAAAAAAAGTTTTTAAAAAAGTTTTTTAAAAAATAGAGATTTCACATGTGCCTATTGCAATGCAGTCTGGACATGAAATTCTAATCCTGGTATCAACAAGGTACAATGTTTAGATCAGGATGTGGGGGGGTTGTTTAGCCAGTAGGAACAGGATGTTTGTGACAAAGGATAAGGATCAAGTTTATTTCTCTTTAGCAGTAATTTATAGCAGCAATCATAAATAAGTCCAATAATTTCTTCTTTGATAGCAGCATTCTACTTTTCCCCAAGAGTCTGAGCCATAGCAATGGTCTGGATTGTTTTGTTTTGTTTAGGTAGAGCCTTTCTTCGTTACTCTATCCCTGTTTGACATAAAGTGCAACCGAAAGATTTCTGCTGATTTCCACGTGGACCTGAACCATTTCTCAGTGAGGCAGATGCTGGCCACCATGTCCCCAGCTTTGTTGAATGGCAGCGGGCAGAGCTCACCTGCCCTTCAGGACATCCTTCATGAAGCCGCCATACAATATCCAAAGCAGGTGGGGGGCCTGAGCCCAGTACTCATACTACTGAGACTTATCTTACACATGCTATGTATGTACATAGAAACTTTGTCATGCATAATGGAGGTGAGATATTGATTATATTGACAGCTTATTTAATTAGACAGTAAAAGCAAGCTGAGGGAAGAAGTGGGTATGGATTTCTCATTTCTTTTTTCTAAAAAAAGAAATGAGAAATCCATTTCCCATCCCTTCCCCATCAAATAGCTTATTTGAGTAGATGATAAACTACTGAGCAGTTAACCAGTTTGGCACTAGGTACTTTTTTATTTTTATATTTTTTTAAGATTTTATTTATTTATTTTTAGAGTGAGGGGAAGGGAGGGAGAAAGAAGGAGGGGGAAACATCAGTCTGTTGTCTCGTATACACATCCCTATCTGGGACCAAACCTGCAACCCAGGCACGTGCCCTGACTAGGAATCAAACAGGCAACCTTTTGCTTTGCTGGATGATGCCCAACTAACTGAGCCACACCAGTCAGGACAGCACTGTGTGCTTCTTAATAGCTAAACAGGTTCACCACTCTTTGCTGCTTTAGAACCTTTAATATTCATGGGAATTGTTTAATGTGGCTCTACTTACTGAATGTGTGTTATACATACTGAAGAAAATCATTTGTTCCTTAGGGAATATTTTCAGTCACATGTCCTCATCCAGATATATTTCTTGTGGCTAGAATTGAAAAAGTCCTTCAGGGGAGCATCACACATGGTGCTGAGCCATACATGAAAAGTTCAGACTCTTCTAAGGTAAGATGACTTCTGTGCTTTGTGATGGTAATAGCAATTGGGAGAAAGGGATCCCTGTTGAAGTAGAAATGCTTAAAGAAATCAAAGTAAATCATATTTATATTTCAACAGATGTAGACTACTGTACATAGACTTACTCTTATATTTAACCTTATGTATCCCATTTTCAATGAAAAGTAGTCCTTTGTGTAAATATAATGCTTCATTTAGTTGCAGTGTCCTGATATCTTGAAATAATTTGCAGAGGAATTATCAGCTTAATAGTAAACCTTTTGTCATTATAAAGTTCATACATTATATTCAAATAGAGTTCTTTTCACTTGTTGATATCTCTCAGGTTCTGGAAATATATTTGGGTCCATTTACACTTAAATATGAGACAGACTAGGAGATGATCCAGCTCAGATGGTATGGCCAGTAGGATTGGTGGTTCAGGTCTACTTGTGTTTTGTCAGATGGGGCAGGATTATGGTGGCAGAGGTAGTGTGACCTTAGGTAGAAGAGGGAAGGAAAATACACAAGATGTGTGTTTGGTTTATGTGCAATTTACTGTTTATTACCTGGGACATATCTAGATGTGGACATAACATAGAATTATTGAATATTAGAAGTCATTTAGTCTAACACCTTCTTTCCACTCAGGAAACTGAGGTTTACAAAAGTCTAGTTACCTGCTTAGTGTCCCACAGATGGAGTGGCCAAAGTACGCTTGACTATCATTTGCTAGCACATTGAGCTATCTGGTTAGAGTAAGCTGTTCAGTGCTGTCCCTGCCAGTTTTGCAGTACTTTTATTTAAAAGAAATTTATAAGTGATAATTTGAAGGTTGCCCCAATACATTGCCAAGGACTGGTCAACAGTAGGAGGGGTCGCCCAGAGGCTCTAAAGTGAGGTTTGCTGAGCTGACTCAGTTTCCTGTCTTCCTTTCTGTGACCACCCATACATCATGTGTCCATTAAGACACAGGATATTCCTTAAAGAACAGGTTCTAGGAGTCAGACACATATTGCTGAGCACCTAACTAGCCTCAGTACTTTACATAAATTATGTCAACTCTCTGGGCCCAGACGTTTCATCTGTAGTTGAAGGATAGTATTGCTATCTGCCCCTACCTTCCTCTCAGGGACAATGCTAGGATCAAACAGATAATGTACAAGACAAGCTGATATAGACTCCACAAATCACTGACACATGTAGGACATCGTTATCATGTATTACAGCCCCAGTCAAGTAAAAACCCATTTACCTAGGCACATTGTTTCAAACAGTATTCCTTTCTGGTTGATAAAAGCTGAGTAAAGTTTGGTCTCTGGAGAGCTGTTTTATTTTTTAAATCAAGTCTGTAAAACCATGGATGAGAGCTCTTTTAGCTCTTTGATGTTTTCTTTGATAATCAGTGAAGGCCCAAGATAAGATCTACTCCTCTGACTGTGTATGCCAACATGTTTCCAATGTACCACCTTTGCTACTTCTGCCTGCCTGCTACATGCATGCTTTGAAACGTGGCAGCTTCTGTTGGTGCAAAAATCATGTATCACTGTACGATAGACGTTACACTCCACCCTCCCAGTGCCCATTGAGCATCTGCTGACGTCTGCTCTTTTTTCGTCACTTATGTGATGGAAAGCTCAACCATGTGCTCATTGCTCTATTAATTCCCATCTCTACCATAGTAAGTTAAAGCAGATATTAAGATTCAGCCCTCTTACATCGGGATTTTTGACAGAGGTATAACAGACAGATTATTTTTTTTCTGTATATAAAAATTGTCTCTTCATGTTTTCCAAGATGGTGTAGAACATCTTTTAGAGTAAATTTTTGTTTTGGACCAAATTTTTGTGAAGTCTCTGTGGATGACCACCATGAACAGATTTTTTTTAAAGAAAGAAAAGCAATAAACAAACCCAAAGGGCAAATACAAGTTTTTCACCCTGACTCTCACATACATTATGTTCCATTTGCACCCTTGGGAAGTTCGAGAGCTCACTCCTTGTTCACTGCAGCGAAGAGTGAAACTTATTTGAAGCCTTGTGTTTTAGCTTTAAATTTTATGCAAATATTGCATTTTACTCAACAACATAGTCATTATTGTTAAACTTTTAAATAATAGTTGCTACCAAAATTGCCAGTCTAGGAAAGTAGTCCATTTTACCCTATGCCTGTGTATCCCCAAGTCCCCACATGAATGGATCCCACTTAGAAGAAAGGGAGGGACTACATGAGCTCCTGACATATGTTTTGAACAAGATGTGTTTTCCAATTCACTCATGAAGGCAGCAATTCCCACAGCATGATTAGGTAGAATCATAATGTTTTGTAATGAAATATATAAACCAAACCCTATGCTTTTAAGGTATGGAAAGTGGAACCTAGAGAGTTATAATGGCCTATCGGTTCACACAGCTGATTTCAATTTGACTTAAAGAAAGGAGATTCTATTATTTTACTTCTGAGCCTTCTAGATGGACATGTCTCAAACCCAGTGCACTCAGGTCACCAGGGATCTGGTCAGATACAGGTTCAGACCCAGGAGCTCTGGAGTGGGGCCTGAGACTCTGCATTCCTTACAGATTCCAGGTGTTGCTAATACTGCAGCTCTTCAGAGCACATACTGGTTCATAGGAGCTAGATTACTTCCCAAAATTGGTTTGTCTTTGATGTACTTAAGTAATGTAAAAGACCTTTCAAACCCATCTCTCTGACTGAATCAAGCTTTGCATTGGTAACAAAGCAAAATCCCAGTACAAGCAAATTTGGGATAATAAATGTCATCTGCTTTAGCAATAAGAGCATACTTGATTAATAGACCTGCCATGCATACATCTTAATCCAAAGCAGATATGCTTCACTGTGCACTATAGGGTTAATCGGTCAACCCACAAAAAGTTAAAAATGGTCATTTGGAAGTGAAAATAGCAGAGTTTATACTTAGAAAGCAAAAATAAAGCAATTGAAAGCCTTGCCCTAACAAGTCAACACCTATAATGTCCTAATAATGAAAATTTACCCCCAAATTGTGGGATTCTGCATAAACTAGTACATATTAGAGGCATATTAGAGTTTAGTATTTTCATTAGTGTTCTCACTTAAACTCTGTTAATGCTTGGTATGAATACCAAGTATTACTAATTATTATTAACCCAGTGAACTTATAATATGTAGCCCTTAGTCATAAAAAACTGTGAAAGCCTGTGATATAGCATGGTTGTTGACCTGCAAAAGCAACATTTTAGGTAAGAAAAGACAGTCCTCATTCTATTTTGTTGAAAATTGCTGCTAGAGAATTTGTTAAACAGAATACTCTGTGCTGAGTATAAATCCAACCATATTTATTATAACATAGTGTGCTTTTTGCATCTAATACTACAGTAGGATGATATTCTTCTGTCAGTGGGAAGCAGCCTTTTATGGCTTTGTTCTAATGTCTTCAAGGTTGCTCAGAAGGTGCTAAAGAATGCCAAGCAGGCATGCCAAAGACTAGGACAGTACAGGATGCCATTTGCTTGGGCAGCAAGGTAAGGGGAATATCCTTAATACCTTTGATATGGATATAGACACGTATGTGGGGGGCAGCAGGGAGGAGACAGACAGACTGACTTATAAACCTACAAACCTATTCTGCTTTATCGCCCAGAGACAAAGAGGATTTAAATGTGTAAAGCTGGAAAATAAATAAGCCCCATATTTGAATAATCATTTATTAGAGTCATAGAAAGGAAAGATGCTGGTTGGAGGGTAGCTGTGTGGCATTGGCAGGGTGAACAGGAATGTTGGCTGTAGAGCTGATATTCCAGGTTCCAGCCACATCTTCAGCTTGAAGTGGGGTGATAGCCCAATAAGGTCTGCAGATCTTATTTGTTTTGTGATCTCTACTTCTTAAGCATTTGATTGTGTATGTTGTTTCTGAAGCACAGGCCATTTGCTAGAAATGTTTTCTATGTAAATTGATTTAGTTGTGTTCATCCTCATAAATATTTTCCATGTTTTTAGGTGAGATTTTTGTTGACTACAGTAAGTGGAATAATAAATAGTCTTCAAGTTGAGGATTTATTTTGGTCTGTTGGAAACTCAATTTAGAAGTGCTGTTTTGCTATTTCAGGACATTGTTTAAGGATACATCTGGAAACCTTGACAGAAATGCCAGATTCTCTGCTCTCTACAAGCAAGACAGCAATAAGCTCTCCAATGATGATATGCTCAAGTTACTTGCAGACTTTCGGAAGTGAGTCTCAAGGCCTTATTTATTTTCCCATCTGAAAAATAGAAGTTGTTTGGTAGGGAGGGAAGAAGTGGGCGCAGTCTTTCAAATTGCTCATTTTAACATCATGGGGCATATTGGATGGGCATGGGGCTTAACCTCAAGTCCTTGGGAAGGAAGAGAGTATTTGTAATTGGAAGAGTAACCTGGTTAATTTGAATTCTATAAAGGATGTTTTTGCTGGTTCAGTGAAGGGTGGATTGGAGTTAGAACCTGTGGAAGAAGGAGACAGTTGAAAAACTTTTGCAGGAGGTGGAAAGGGACTCAGCAAAGCCACTGCAAGTGGAAATAGGAAGAACAAAACTAATTCAAGTTATGTCAGAGAGGCTCAGTTACTGGGTCCTGGTTTCCTGACTGGGTATTAGGGTGGGAGGAGAGAGAAATGGGTGATAGTCTTAGTTAGATAAATAAATCCCAGGTTTCTGATTTACACAGTGGAGTGACTTATGGTACTATTAACTGAATGGGTGATGGGGGCATGGTGAAGATAACTTATATAGTACTATTTATAAGCATAGTTCTAAATACTTTACATATTTATATTAATGACTATAGTAGTTTCCTAGGGCTGCCGTGACAAAGGACCACAAACTGGGTGGTGTGAAACAATGAAAATTTGTTTTCTCATATTTCTGGAGGCTAGAGCCCAAAATCAAGGTGTTGCCAGGGCCCACTGCCTCCCAAGATTTCTAGGGGAGGATCCTTCCTTGCCTCTGGGAGCTACCAGCTCCCAGTAGCCCTAGGCATTCCTTGGCCTGTGGAAGCATAACCCCAAACTCTGCCTCTGCCGTCACATGGCTGTTTTCCTCTGTGTCTGTCTACATTTCCTCCTTATAAAACACGTTATGTTGGATTAGGGCCAACCCTAGTAACCTTGTTTCCTTGATTACATCTATTGTGTTGGTGAAAAAGTAAGTATGTTTTTTCCCATAAAAAAAGACTCATTTTTCATTTTCACCTATTACTTTATTGACTTAGATATTTTGAGTATGTCAGCTATCTCCTGTATGGTATAATGTTGATTGTTCTCAATTAATGTCTCAATTTGATCACTATCAATTTCAGCTGGTCTATGCAACTGTGGAGGTGTCGCAATACAATCTAACAAAATTGTTTGAAATGAAGTTAAAGACAGCTAAGTACTACTAGAGCTATCTTATGAGGAAAAAAAACCCAACAAACTTTTTGGTCAACTCATACAAAGATCCTATTTCCAATAAGGTCACATTTATAGGTACTAGGCTTAGGACTTAAACATATCTTTTTGGGAATACAACTCAACCCATACAATATGGTAAAGAGGCTGAGGAGTGGTGGAAGTCATTCTGGCTGAGAATCTGCTCTTATCCACTCTATCATAAGGAATTGATTTCTAAACTTATAAAAACTGATTTTCTTTCCTAGGGATATAGGTTTTAGAATTTTTCTGGGAGAATTCCCACAGTGAGAAAGAATTGAGGGTATTAAAAGACAATGAAATGAAAGAATGGCCAAGAGCCATAGGGACCTTTCAGTTTTGGAATTTTGGCGGGGGGATGGGGGGGATATATATCAAAGTAATTATTAGTTTGCCTAGAACTTAAGAATGGCTGGTTAGCTTTCTTTTGCTTCATTTGCACCATTTTCTTGCTTCCCTCTCTTCTGATTTCTCAGAATTCTAAATACAGCTTTAATTAACATCTCTTAAAAACCTTTACTTAGTTATAGCAAGAACTATACTATCATAGATAATGTGTTACACAGTAATTAGTGTCATGTTTTTATTTGAGTTCCAGGAAACTTTTAGCCTTTTTTGTAGAAAAAAAGTTGTTTCTTTGGAAACTCCACTCACCCTTAGTTGAATAGATCCCAGTTTTCCCTCACTGTACTGCCATGCAATTCTCAGTAATCATCATGTAGGTCTGAATGTACTCACTTAGGAGGGTGTACACACTATGTTGTTAAGGAGGAGAAGTATATCTGTATGACCTCATGTTTTTAAAGAAAACATTTTATATATACTTTCATATATAAATAAAGAAATGGATAGCCAGTTAGATGGAAAGATAGACTGGCATAAAAATAGTTATATAGGCTGGACACCAAAATGTGAGTCATGGTCATCTCTGAGAGATAGGTTTATGAATGACTTTCTACTTCATAGCTTTTCACAATCTTTTAAGAATATTTATTTATTTTTATAGAGAGGGGAAGGGAGGGAGAAAGAGAGGGAGAGAAACAGCAATGTGAAATATATTGATTGTTTGCCCCTCGTGTGTGCTGCAAACAGGGACTGAACCTGCAGGCCAGGTACATGCCCTGACCCGGAATCAAACTAGCAACCTTTTTGCTTTGCGGAACAATGCCCTACCAAGCCACACCAGGCAGGGCAATTTTCATGATTTTATGTGGACAGTTTTTATAACTAACATTTACTTTTATATTCCTACAAAGCAAGCACGGAAGTTTTTTTAATATGTGATGGAGGCTGGAAGCCATGTCTCAGAAGTTGCCTCCTAGCTGAGAGCTTAAAGCTTCCCCTGCAGTGGCAGCTCTTCGAGAGTAGCCGTAGCTCTTGGATCTGGCTTCCTCAGTGGAGGACAAAGGGTGGGACTTTACAGGGCCTTTAGTTAACAAGTGATCTGAGCTGAGAGCCTGCAGCCAGGCAGCGAACAGCACAGACCTTCACTGGTTCAGAGCATGGGACAGGTCCCCCCAGCCCCAGCATGCACACCAGGTCTTCGGTAGGAGGGACTTTGTGGGTAGAGTGTGCTCCAGATGGCCGTGGGAGATGCACAAGCATGATAATAAGGATCCAGTGCTACTGGCATCAGAAGGTATGAAGGCACTGGGGGAGCAATGGTCCTGCTCAACAAGAATCCAGAGAACTGCCAGTGTCTGCTGCCTGTGTTCTTCACAGTGGAGTTAGCGAAGTGAAGGTTTCCTTTTCATTTTTTTTAAACCTTATCATTGTACCTTTTCTCTCCTCTTTGTTTTTTTCACAAAGAAGAATCTCATGTCAGTGGTTTAGGCACCAGCTGGAATCCAGAGGAACTGTTTCTGTTCCCATGATTGTCTCAAAATGTCATTTAATAATGGATGAGAAAAGTTTTCTCAAGCTGCCCCAGCTTTAGAAAACAGCTGCTAAAGCTCAGAAGCCACTTCCCCCTCCATCCCTTGTAATCATTACCAGAGGATACTGTCCGAGATTTAGAGAGAAAATAATTCTGTCAGATGGTATTGCTGGCATATATGCTTTAACAAGTATTTATCTAGGAAAAGAGACTTGGTATGTATTTTACACTTTGATTTGCTCGTGGTGATATCTTTTCTCACTTCTGTAAGAAATCTGAAGGCATGAAGGCAAAGAATAAAAATAGAGTATTTCCTTTACATGTAGACCTTTTTAATGCTACCACATTGGGTAACACTGTCAGGGCTCTTGCATGAGACTGATATATGTGTTTATACCTTTATGTTCTTTGTCTCCAAGTTTGAAATTTCTCTCTAGTTAACACTGAACACAAGCCAGGTGGGGCTACTTGCCTTTCTGTGAACCCACTGTGAACTTTCACTCCATCATGTTTTGCCTTCTGCCTGAATTGTGTCACTTTCTGCCCCCTCAAGCAGTAGCACACAAGTGACAAATACATACAGCATACACATTCCCCTTCTACTTTTTGTCTCTCCAAGGCAAACTTACTCATCATTCAAAACCCCATCCATATCTCACTTCCACGTTGGGATACCTGGGCCAGGTCACTTGGCTTCTCTGCTTGAGTCTCCTCTTCTTTTTAAGGGGGATTGTAATGGCTCTGCCTCCTAGAACTGTGGAGGGAATAAATGAATATATTCATTTATAAATATGAATGAATATATTATAAGGGTGATTTTCTCAAACTGTGAATGGTAGTTTCATCCCCTGTTCTCTCTCAGTACCTTACACATCTGCCTTCTGGTAGAGGTTTATGCAGACTCTTTGGAGTAGTTATCATGTGTCTACTGAATTTTTGGCTTCTTGAGGCTAGGAATCATACCTTGTTTGTCTTCTATCCATGGTGCTTAATGTGATGTTGTATCACATCATGCGCACTTAATAAATGCAAATTGAAATTTCTCTAACGCATACATTCAGTGATTTTATTTAAACAAAAATATCTCATATTTCTTTCAATGGCATATAAATTGTTTAAGTGACACCAAAAAATAGGAAATATTTCTCTTTACAATAGGGACCATTTCCCTTTACAAAATGCATTTAGAAGATTAGACTCACCACCAACAACAGATCCAAGCATGCCTACACTGCTAGTTAATCACATTGATGTGTCAGCACAGGAGGTAGAATCAAGAGGACTGGGTACAAAAACACAGATGTAGGGACACCAAACCTGTTGGCATCAGATGACTACTAGTTTGCGATACCATCCCTCTTCCCTCTGTGGGAATTGTTGAGTCAGTAGGAATGTATGGGCAGTGGGGAAAGAACACCTTTCCCTTTCCTGAGAGAGAGAGAGAGAGTTTGAGCCTCATTCTTAGGTTTATACACAGACATAAGCTTTGCCCAAATTCCAGTCACTTTATGTGTTTCTACATTATACATTTGTTTAATCAATGCATTTTTAGGATGGGTTTTCCTTCTCAACTATTGTAAGTTTTGCATAGAACATATGCACTTTGTAGCATTAAAAAAACAATCCCTGTCATGAGAGAATTCATTTTATATAACATGTTGTCATTGTCATCATCACCATCTCTTTGCAAATAAAAAAAAGGGAGTGGAATTTTTGTTGTGTGAGGTTTTGCTGTCTAAAAAGCCAGGTTCAATAAAAAACCTTGAACTTTTATAATAGGTTTAAGATTACATTTTTAAAAATAATTTAAATTGGTAGAAATACCTTCCACAAAACCAAGGTGCTATGTGGTATGGAATTAAAATCAGATCTGTGCTTGCTTGGAAATGTTGTACTTGGACATTATAATGCCTCTATGGAAGTAGCAACTAGAAGTAAAAGTTCCCAGCAGAAGGAGGAACCTGAATAAGAAACAAGTATAAGAAACAAGTTAGAAATAGAAGTATATAATACTTTGTACAAAGAGTTCTAGTGAAGAATGTTTAAAATTTGTTGCTTAGAAATCCAACTCTCAAAAGTTTATAGGTGGATAATCTCAGTGTGATTGAAAAAGTGGTGAAGAAAGTACATATTTATTCACAGGTGAAAATAATTAGGAAGGAGTGAAATATTATACTCTTGGGTAGTTACATGTAAAACTATTATTTGTAGTAAGCAGAGTATTTCTGACTCAGGGGAGCAGATGCAGTTTCATAGGTGTCTATAAGATTTTGTGGAATGCAGTGTTTTGTAGTATGTTGCAGGGTTAAATTGTTCAAATGAAGAGGTGGGGCAAGGCATTACGTCAAGAAAATTTATACCTGTGTAGAAACCCATGGGTCACAGGGTTGATGCCCCTAAAGAGCTTTGTTAAAGCTGAGAGAAGCTCCAATAGTGCATCATGGTTGGAGCATACAGTGCTTGAGTAGCCATTGGTAGCTCTCTGCAAATGATTGTTCAAGGCACAAGTTTCTGGTAGTAGAAAAGGATATTGAGTTTGTGAGCAAATCACAGAATGGGCACAAAATGTAGGGGTAATGCTGTACCATGCCTGGAAATCTTTGGGCTATAAATCGTTTAACTGAAGGTAGAATATGTGAAAATTGTTGACTTGCCTTCCGGACAGTTATATCTTAGGATTTCAAATTGTTGTTCATTTAAATGCAGATGTGGAAATGAGAAGGAACCCTGAGAGAAAGTGATTCTGCAGGTTGGAGCTGCTGGTGGGCACAGATGAATATGCTCAGGGTACTCTGTAGTCATTATTAGGCAAGAATTTAGAACTATTAGGGAAATCTGATTCAGATTAACAGTACCCCAGGGTATGCTGACAAGTTATGTGTGACTCTGCTTAATAGATAACAGTAACATCAGAGGAATCTTAAAAACAGAATTTAGGAACTTTTCAAAAATTGGAACAAAACCAAATGCTGAATCTATTGGCCAGTGAGGCCAGTGTGCTTTGATATTCTTGGCAGTGTCTGAAAGACATCATTAGTAAACTGGTGACTTACAAAGAAACATGAGACTGTCCCGTTTTTTAAGAGTAAGTCATGTCATGTCAAACTAGTCATCCTAATCACATTTCTGCTTCTCTCTTTTCAATTGGATTGCTAAATTTGTATGACAGAGGCATGCCTTTGACAAGTGTATATTCCAAGATGGCCTGTGAACAAGCCAGAGAAGTGTAGTACACTTGAGTAGACAAGTTGTTCAGCTGCTGGAGTAACCAGATACCAGGGAGGGTGATAAATGGGCTAGTATCATTCTGGCTATGGGCATCTAGAGATTTGAGAAGAAACCTGTTCATGCCAATATTCTGTGCACTATCTTCATCAATGACTTTTATAAGAGAATATAACATGCTGGTGAAATGTCTTCACAACATAAAGCTATTAGGAATACCTTAATACATTAGATGTTATAACCTGGATTTAAGAGGGTTTTGATCAACTAGAAAAGGCTCAAGTATACAAAGATGGCATTTCATAAAGATAAAAATCAAATTCTTTTCTGATTTCCAAAAACATAATTATATAAAATATAGACTAGAGAAATGTAGCATGAGAGTAAAGCATATGAAAAAAGATTTAAGGATTTTAGGTAGTTGTAAATTTCATGTACATCACTAGCTGTGGCTACCTAAAAGTAATAGCATTAATTGATGGGTGTATTGTTCAAAACCAGACAGCTGTGGCCTTGGGTGGTTAGAGCATTGTCAGGATATGACAAGATTGCGGGTTCGATCCCCAGTCAGAGCACATACAAGAATCAACCAATGAACACATAAATAAGTGAAACAACATCTTGCACTCTCTTTTTCTCCCCCCACCCCACCAATTTAAAACACACACACACACACACACACACACACACACACACACACACACATATTCTATCTTCATCTGGTCAGGCCATACTGGGCCTGATTTGTGCAGTTCTAGGTGCCACATATAAATGGGATGTTCTTCTAGGAGTAAAATGGCATTGGAGGAAGATGCAAAAGGACTGAAAATGGAAGACTTCAGAAAGCTGTTTATAGATGATTGAAAGGTGTTACATTGGGAAACATAATAACTAAGCCCCTTGAGGAGTGGAAGTTTCAGAGAGGTGAATTTTACCTTGCTGCGTTGAAATGGCTATGTTGAAAGTTTTCTTGTCACTAAGTAAGTAGTGTTTGTCAGGCATATTACAGAAGAGATTTCTGTATTGGATTGAGTCAGACCAAATACAAACCTCAGATACTTCAGTATTTACTTTGTGCCCAGCATTTTGCTAGACACTAGAAACTAAGATGACTTCTAGTTCTGAATTTTCATAGTTCTAAGTGAGCCAAGAATATATGTTGAGGTTGCTGTCCAACTCATTAGGCACTAGCCACATGTAGCTGTTTAGCACCTGAAATATAGCAAGTCCCAACTGAAATGAGCTGTGAGTGTAAAAGATACAGCTTGTTTTGAATGATTAGAATGAACTTTTTATATTGATCACATATTGAAAAAACAATATTTTGCATATACTGGGTTAAATAAATGTATTTTTCAAACTAATTTTACCTGTTACTTTAAAACTACTTTTGTGTCATGCATTATATTTCTCTGAGAAGTGCTCTCTAGAATTTAGATTTTAGAGTTAACCTAACTTACAAATGTTTGATTTTTCTCTTTGTAGACCTGAGAAGATGGCTAAGCTCCCAGTGATTTTGGGCAATCTAGACATTACCATTGATAATGTTTCCTCAGACTTTCCTAGTAAGTGTAAGTTCTGTATAAAAACGGACAAAATTTTGTTTGGTTTTTACTTCAATTTGTTTGTTTTTAATTTTTCAGATTATATCAATTCATCATACATTCCCGTAAAGCAATTTGAAACCTGTACTAAAACTCCAATCACATTTGAAGTAGAGGAATTTGTGCCGTGCATACCAAAACACACTCAGCCTTACACCATCTACAACAATCACCTCTATGTTTATCCTAAGTACTTGAAATATGACAGTCAAAAGTCTTTTGCCAAGGTGAGTGTAAAGATTGAGGTTTCATTTTTAGTATCAAACTCATTTAGGTTTTGGCTTGTCATGTTCTTTTATAAATATCAAATATTTTGGCTGTTTGTTTTCTTTTCTTTTTTTTTCTTTAAATATTGTTGCAGGCCAGAAATATTGCTATTTGTATTGAATTCAAAGATTCAGATGAGGAAGACTCTCAGCCTTTGAAGGTTTGTTTTTTAAATGTATTTACATTTTCCCATTTTAATAATGTAATTGCATGATATTACACAACTAAAGTAATTTAGCACATTTTAATTGACACAGACACAAAAATATGTAATATATTATGTAACCACATATGGTGAACTTTACAGAATATGGAATAATTGAGCTCTTACTCCTAATTGACTGTTTGTTTTGTTATACTTTTTAGGGATGAAGATTTCTTATGCATGTTCTATTCAGTAAACTTAATCATGGATCTACTGTAAGCCAGGCATTGAATGGTTGCTAAGAATTATATTACCAACATTAATAATAGAAATAATAATAATAATGGATTGGCATCTATCAAATGTTTATTATAGTATGGCAATAATAGTAGTAGTAGATTGTTGATATTCCAGGCTCTGCTTTTAGAGCCTCATAGGAATTATTAAACTCCTTTAATTTTCATAACAGTCTTTTGAGTTAAGTACTATTATTTTCCTGCATTTTTTAGATTAGGTTAATGCACCAAATTTAAATAAATTGATTAGGGTCATACATTAGAGGAACTGATGTTCAAATCCAAGCAGTCTGGCTCCAGAGCTCAAATCCTTTACTGATAAACTATGTGAAAATGACTTTGCAAGAAGGAAGGAGACAAAATGGCAAAGAACAATGCAGTGTAGTTTTTGCCCTCAAGAAATTTATTAGCTTTCTGGGAAAGACAGTTATGGGAGAAAAAAGCTTTGAGCATACAAAAGGTACTGAAATGGTTTACTTACAAAACTGGAAAATTAGAACGGAAAAATACTGAAGGGACACAGAGGGAGAAATTAATCCTTTCTTGAAGGGTGCATGAGAATTTGCTTGGGGCACATAGAAAGGAAGTTCATTGGGACAGAGGGCTTGCATAGCATAGACGTGGAAGTGTGAAAGGGCACAGTGAGCAGGGTCTGATTCGGAGCGACAACTTGGAGGGGTGGGAGGGAGAGTGGTGGGAGGAACAGAGAGGTGAGCTGGAAGGTAAGTTGGGCCCAGGAGTAAGGGGGTTTGCAGGTCTGTAGTCTCACAGGCAGAAGAAAGCCATCAGGGATAGTTAAGTTTATGCTGTAGGAGTGTTCTTTACATCACTTCTGAGTTTAATTTCTTACTCTAATAATTGAATGCTGGTGTTTCCCATTGCTAATTCTTACTTTAGTGCATTTATGGCAGACCTGGTGGGCCGGTGTTCACAAGAAGCGCCCTTGCTGCAGTTTTACACCATCACCAAAACCCAGAATTTTATGATGAAGTAAGTAAGGTTTTCAAGGCTAAACCCAGTTTAACCAGTTTTAAGGAAAACTCTTAAGTTCTTTGCTTAGTATAGCAAAATTCAAGAGAAACTGCATACTATACTGAGAACACAATGATAGAACTAAATGTTGAATTATTTATTTTACATATTTTTTTAAATTATAGAAGTAATGTATTTATTGTAAAAAATAAAAACTTGGAAAATGCAGATAATATAGAAAATAAAAAGTTAAACTCCCTCTTCTATCACAACCACAGTTAATAATTTTGACTTTTTTTTTCAAATTCATATTTTATATAGTTATGTTTGTTAGACCTTTCTTTTTTTATAAAGATTTCATTTATTTTTTATTTTTAGAGAGGGAAGGGAAGGAGAAAGAGAGAGAGAGAAACATCAATGTGCGGTTGCTGGGGGTCATGGTCTGCAATCCAGGCACATACCCTGACTGGGAATTGAACTTGCAACACTTTGGTTTGCAGCCCACGCTCAATCCACTGAGCTATGTCAGCCAGGGCCATTAGACCTTTCTTACTAGGTTTCCTTATGTAAAATTATATGTAGTTCTTTAAAACTACTAAATGAATTCTACTTAGAAGTGTTTTACCCTGTTTTTTTGTCATGGCTTGGCTGTGTTAAGTTAATGTAGTAGTGTCTCTCATGTGTTTTCCAGTTCCTTCTAGAATTGGAATATCAACTCTCTTATTTTTGGTTAGTAATGTCTTAGTCTGTTCATGATGCTATAACACAATACCACAGACTGAGTGGCTATAAACAGCAAATACTTATTTCTTGTAGTTCTGGAGGCTGGAAGTCTGAAATGAGATTGGCAGCATGGTCATGCAAGGGCCATCTCTCAGGTCGCAAGTTCTCAGTTGTATTTTCACGTGGTGGAGAGGGCGAGGGAGCTCTGTAGCATCTCTTTTATGTAAGAGCACTAATCCCATTTATGAGGGTTCCACTCTCATAACCTAATCACCTCCAAAGGCCCCTAATAACCATCACCTTCGATGTTAGAATTTCAACATGTGAATTTGAACACAAATTCTCGGGGGTGAATTTGCAGGGGGAAACACAAACATTCAGACCAAAATAGTATAATATTGTATTAAGAATCCCTTTCTTCCAGCCCTGGCTGGTGTAGCTCAGTGGATTGAGCGTGGGCTGCGAACCACACATCACAGGTTCGATTCCCAGTCAGGGCACATGCCTAGGTTGCAAGCCATGGCCCCCAACAACTGCACATTGATGTACTGATGTTTCTCTCTCCCCCCTCTTCCCTCTCTAAAAATAAATAAATAAAATCTTTAAAGAAAAAAAAAGAATCCCTTTCTTCCTTATCACAATTTACAATCTCAGATTTCTTTTGACCAGAGACCAAATGTACACGTATGCATTGGGTGATACATTGTGTGTCTGCTTTCACCAAGAAATTTTGTTGCTTTTTGCCCTAGCCGGTATGGGTCAGTTGGATGAGAGTCATTCCACAAACCAGAAGGTTGTCAGTTTGATTCCTAGTTAGGGCACATGCTTGCGTGGCAGGTTCAGTCCCTGGTTGTTGGGGCGTGTACTAAAGTCTACTAATCGATGTTTCTCTCCCTATCTTCCTCCCTTCCCATCTTTCTAAAGATAAATGAAAATATCTTTTAAAAAAAGAAATTTTGTTGTTTTGGAATATTTGAAAAATTGTTGTCTCCCTTCCTTATAGATTAAAATAGAATTACCCACCCAGCTACATGAAAAGCACCACTTGTTGTTCACATTTTTCCATGTCAGCTGCGATAATTCAAGTAAAGGAAGCACAAAGAAGAAGGATGTTGTTGAAACACAAGGTCTGAAATTTCATCATTCCTTTGATTGTTTATAACTTACATGTTAGGTTCTTAAATTTTATTTTGATCTGAATTTACATCCTTTTTGCAAAGGAGTTTTTACATGACCTTTGTGAAGGTAGCATGCCTGGCTTGTATATGTAAATTTCCATAAAAGATAATTTTAGAATTCTAATCCCAAAACATTCAGAGTACATTGTAGACAGTGTTCTGCAGAGACTATATTCAGGGTCTTTTCAGTTTCTTAACCCTGGTTGATAGTGACAGTTTTTAAAGATCAGGCAATTTAGTAATATTGGCTTTCTTTCATAAGTTTTTGTACATTTACAGTGAATTTTTTTGTGCTTTGTTTCAACAGTTGGATATTCCTGGCTTCCTCTCCTGAAAGATGGAAGGGTGGTGACTAATGAGCAGCACATTCCTGTCTCAGCTAATCTCCCATCTGGCTACCTTGGCTACCAGGAGCTTGGGATGGGCAGGGTATAAGACTTTAAGATTGTTAATCCCAATTCCTTCAGAAAACATTAAAGACCAATTAAAGCAGCAATAACACAGAAAAGCACATAGTATTTTTTGCCAGTTCCAACATTTTGGTTTTAACTATTCATTTTCAAGTAAACTTAGACCATTGGAAGGCAGTGCTATTAACAATATCATGATCTAGAATTACAGTTATAATTTTAGTATAAGTCCAGAAGTAACAGTGCCTCAACGGAGAGGTGGAGACTTGGAGATAATAGATGCGGTAGAAATTTGGAGATGCTGGATCAGCTAGAAAATCTCTGTAAACTAGCCATGCTCAAATAAAGGTGTGTTCTTAGTGTCATGCAAATGATTAGGAATTGTCTTCCAACTTAACATAATAAGTCAAGTAAGCAAATCTCTTATCCACGTGCTATCTCATTCTGATACCTTTCTGATTCATTAAAGCCTGGATTGTCTCAGATTTCTCCAGTTGGTTTGTGGGTTTTACATTCTTTTTAATTATCTTAGATTTTATAGACATGCTTAGATAAGCCATTTCATTTCAAATGGCTTTTAGTGTTTCTCTACATTTTAAATAGTGCCAAATGTGGACCCATGTTATGGACAAATAGTTAAAATATTCCAAAATAAGGGTAAATCAAATAACATTCAGTTATAATTCCTCATCTGAACATGAGAAAAATGGAAGTTTTTGAAACTAAATTAAGTACAGACAGATGTTGACCCTTTGTGTCAGGAAAACTAACTGTCTTATTGGCTCTACCTGGCACCTTGTGCCATCACTTTCAGAATCTCAGACTCAAGTTTGGTTAAGTTGCTGGTGAAATAGGATTTTTTTCCCTCTCAAATGGATAGTAATTCTCATAGCTGCAACTAAACAGAAAAGATAACTTAGAAGATCCAATAAGAAGAGCATTGTAGCCTGGCTGGCATAGCTCAGTGGATTGAGCACAGGCTGCGAACCAGAGTGCCGCAGGTTCAATTCCCAGCCAGGGCACATGCCAGGGATGCAGGCCACAGTCCCCAGCAACCGCACATTCATGTTTCTCTCTGTCTCTTTCTTCCTCCCTTCCCTCTCTAAAAATAAATAAATAAATCTTAAAAAAAAAAAGTCTTTAAAAAAAAAAAAGAAGAGCATTGTACTTGGAGACAGAAAGTGGGCAGAAATTAGGGTTTGTTGCATTTCTGCTGTGAGCCAGGCATAGCCATGACTGTCAGGCCCCAGAGCTGTTTGGGTCTTCCGTACCTCATCAATGCCCTCATTCAAGATGAGGATTGAAACCAGGATCACTCATGTGTCGGGATGTTTCTTCCCTCCATGTTTTTCAGCATTGTGGTCCTGAAATTAAATGGGTAGATGGAAGCAAGCCACTGCTGAAAGTTTCAACTCATCTGGTTTCCACAGTGTATACTCAGGTACACGCTCTTCTATTAAAATTAGCAGTGGTTGCTCTGTGAATGAGTTTGTATGAGTTTTGGGCGAAACAAAAGTCTAATTGATATGTTATATGGATATATTTTTACTCCGTAAGTCTCTTGTGAAGAAAAGAAGTACATACAAGGTACTCATGTACTGAAATAAATGAAGAGTAACAAGTAACATTTCTTAACAGTCTTCCTCTTTTGTTGGAAGATCTTTTGAAACCTTTTTTAAAATTTATTTTTATCTCTTTGATGTTTTCATTTTTTATGGAATTAGTTTCATAGTCTAAATAAAACATGCCTACCGCAAGAAACGGATGCTACTATTTTCACAGCCAATATGTTAATGAGCTTTCATTTTCTTTTCTTTATTCCTTCCCCCAGGATCAGCATTTGCATAATTTTTTCCAGTACTGTCAGAAAACTGAATCTGGAGCCCAAGCCTTAGGGAATGAACTTGTAAAATATCTTAAGGTATCAGAAGGCTTTCTTAATAACCCCTTTTTAAGGAGTTTGGAGTTGATTGGGTTTTCTGTTGGTGGTGAGTGTTGTAAGAATGCTTTTTGGTAGAAGCTCTCACACCAACAGCTTCTATATGGTTTTAGATAGTGTCAAGAAGGAGACTCAGAAATAGTGCTTCTCCTAGCTTCGTCCTCATCCCATGTATACTTTTCTCATGCCAGACCCAAAACATACTGTTTCCTGCACAGAAAACCACTCACTTACAGAGGCTCCTCATGTGGAGTTCTCACAGGCACAGAGCACAGGAACAGAAACAACAGGAGCAGTGACTTTAGTCCCACAATTTAGGAACTTCTAGTTCATTGTAGGAGAAAACATAAGCTTCATGAGCACATACTAGGTGGGTTAAAAAAATACACCAAATAATATATTTCACCATCCCAGCTTTGTGCAGGGTTAGGGAGACTTTTAGAGTCATTGAACAATGGGAGCAAGGAGGGTTTGTCTAAGGGAATTTCACCTAGAACACGATTCAAGGGGGACACTTTTTAAAAGGAGAGTAGTTAAAAGGACATTCTAGGCATGGGGACAAAATATAAGAAATGTGAGAAATGGAATAGAAGTTTGTTTGATTTAAGCAAGGAAAGTGGAATGGGGATCCTGAATTATTGCTGTGCCAAATCCCCTTTCAGCTGTATGACTTGAAGAAGAGCTTTTATATATGTTGACTTGAAAAACAGTCCTTCTATTAGTTTTCTATTGCTCCTGTAAGAAATTACCACAGCCTCGGTGGCTCAAAACAACACACATTTATTATCTTACGCTTCTGTAGGTCCGAAGTCTGGCATGAGCTTCACTGAGCTAAAATCAAGGTGTTATTAATAGGAAGTTTCCTTTCTGGAAACTAGGGGTGAATCTCTTTTCTTACTCTTTTCATCTTCTAAACACTGCCTTCCTTCCTTGGCTTGTAGCCACTTTGTCCATCTCAAAGCCAACAGATTTTCACCTCGGGCCATTTTTCCTTAGACACGTGCCCCCCGACTCTTCTCTTTTGCCTCCCTCTTCCCCTTTTAAGGACCCTGTGATCACATCAGGCCCACCTGGGTAAATCCAGGAGCATCCCCCATCTTAAGGCCACCTGGTTAGCTTCCTTAATTTCCCTTTGCTGTGTAACATATTCACAGATTCTGCGGATTAAAACATGAACATCTCAGTCCCTTTTTTTGCTTGCCACTGCCTTCCATTTGTTTTAGATGGACTTCTTCCATCCTTCTTTGAAATTGAGTGGAAGTTGCATAGGCTTGGTTTACTTAAAAAAGGATAACTTGAACTTTGGTATTCCATGTCTGTAGAGCCTACATGCAATGGAAGGCCATGTGATGATTGCCTTCTTGCCCACCATCCTAAACCAGCTATTTCGTGTCCTCACCAGAGCAACTCATGAGGAAGTCGCCGTCAACGTGACACGGTGAGAACATGGAATGGAAAGGTGGATACTCTTCTTCCCTTCAGTCTGTCCATATGTGCAGCACAGTCATACATTTCTGGGATGCTAGTATGTGTTGAACATTATATTTAAGATATTTCTTTTGATCCCATATGTAGAGATCCCATCTAATGCCTTATTTCCTGTGGTGCCAATAGGATCATCATTGTTCTAGTACTGTGATGATAATGAAATGTTTCCATTTTCACATTACTATTCATTGCTTTATTCATTCCTATGGTGTGTAGGGTCATTATTCATGTGGTTGCCCAGTGCCATGAGGAAGGATTGGAGAGCCACTTGAGGTCATATGTTAAGGTATGTAAAATAAATTGTCCCAATCATTTATATCTGTGGCTCTCCAATTTTCCTTCTAGAACTTTTTTTTTTAATCTAGTTATTTTTGGATATATGTTGGGATAAAACTTAATACCTGTGCTTTTTCTTCTATATCACATAGCCAGTGCTTGCACTTACACGAGAGGAAGTCCAAAGAGGGGCAATTATTCATCTATTTACTTAATATCATTTGTCAACTGCATTTCTTGTTTTAATGGGTTTTGCAAATAATGTGACCCAAATGATGTGGAAGTTTAAAGAAAGCTATTATCTCACTCTTAGCTAGGCCTCTGGTATAGCTTGTTGTCTTCATTTTTCTTTTCTCCATCCAAAATTCCCAGGAAAACTGCTTCTCCCAAGACAGTAAGGTTAGCTCTGGCCACCATCTAAGTAGATGACTACATGGGACAGCAAGAGATGTTGTTGGGACAAATATCAACAAGTTCTCCATTTTTATACAATATTTAGTAAACATAATGCCAGTCACTGTTCTAAACAGTTACACACACACATTCCATTTAGTCTTTGATACTCTGAATTATAGCTATGTGTTCATTTAAAAAATAAAGTTCGGTTGTTTAGAATATCAGTTACCCAGTGTTGTGTGAGATATTTAATGAAGTCCTTAGGAGGAGGATCTATGGGCTACACAACCATTGACCTGAGTCAGGTGATTCACAATATTTCAATAAAGTTCCTCAAAAACATACTGAACTGCCTCTTTCTGTCACATGACAACGACCCTTCTCACCTTCTGTTTCCACACCTTCCTCTCCCACCCATGCAATTGTATCTCAGTCCCCGATCTTATCCTTTGGAGCCTTTTCAGCATTCAGCTCATCTTGGAGAACCAGTGCATTAAATCATCTTTCCCTTTTCTTCAAAGTATGCTTATAAGGCTGAGCCATATATTGCCTCCGAATATAAGACAGTGCATGAAGAACTGACCAAATCCATGACCACAATTCTCAAGCCTTCTGCTGACTTTCTCACCAGCAACAAATTACTTAAGGTATGTTGGGAGAGCTGGTGTGACTCTGCAGTATTTAAATTGATTTAAAAAAATTCATACTTCTCAGCTTGATCAGTTTACCTTGTGTGGTTTTGGAGACAATCACCAACTCCTAAAAAGTGGTAACAGAGTCAGTTCTTAAATACCAATTTTGCTACTTGTACTAGTGACTCTACAGAAGCTGCAGATTATTATTATACTCAAAGTTTTGTGGCATGCAGCTATTAATAAGTCATTATATTTAAATCACTGGGGGATTGTGAGTTACAGATTATACAAGCAAGTGTCATCAGGCAAGACTTACCCAAGAGGAAAGATTGTGTATCTAATCGAGTAGCGCCACTTGTGTGGGTTGTGCCATGCTGAGCTTATGCGCCCTATATCCTAGAGGTATGAAGTCATGTACGGTCAGACACCTGAAAGCATGAGAGCACCTGCCATATACCTCCAGTCTGATCATTCACCAAGAGGTGCAGCCATGTTTTTTGGTCACATCTGTCTTATGTCAGTAACATTGCCAGCCTAAGAGAATAAACATCTCATCTAACTGATTGTTTTTCTTACTGGAATCTTTTTTTTTCTTTCAGTATTCATGGTTTTTCTTTGATGTTTTGATAAAATCCATGGCTCAGCATTTGATAGAGAACTCCAAAGTTAAGGTATGTCACCTTATATCAGGGCTTGTATGATAGTTTTTAGGGGAAAACATAATTCATTGTGTTTGTAGCTAACATTTATTAACACTTTCTGTGTTCCACTTACAAGTATTGTTTTAAGTGCTTTCCAGCAGTAAAGCATTTTAGCTTTATGACAACTCTATAGGGGAAGTATTAGTCTTACTCCTCATTTTATAGATGAAGAAACTGAAGTCAGGATGCTTGAGTTATTTGCCTAAGGCCATGCTGCTAGTGAGTGGAGGGAGCCAGGTTTTGAGACCCCTCTGGCTAAGAAAAATGTGTCTTTTCCTTTGACTAGCTTAGAAATCTTCAAGTTTGTTGAAATGGGGATAATAGTTTAAGCATTCATTTAAATTGCATTTACCTGGTGTTTTTTAAGTGTCTTGTACATCTTAGACATTTCTCTAGGACTTAGATGGGTTTCTGGTGCTATCATGTCCTGTGTAACCAATGAATTGACTCTGAGATAACTTAGTCTCCTCTCTGAGGTGCCTGGGTATGTGCCATGCTCATTTCTGGATTGATGCCTATTGAGGTATGACTGGTTGTTACTGGCTGTCTGAGCTTAATTTTTTTTTAAAATTCCAAGGCAGTGAACACAGGTAGATGTATCACAGAGCTCCTTCTGAAATGCAGTCTTGGAGTTGCCATTATGACTCTGAATTCTCACTACATTATAGTTGTACAGAAGTGGGAGCTTAAAGAGCCTGGGTGAGAGCTGGAGGCACTGGTGCAGGGAGCAGTCGTGGTGCCTGGCAGCCTCTCTCAGTGAATGTGGGAAGAAGGGCAGAGTCACAGGCAGGGAGGCTCAGCATGTTGGCCATCTGGCTCTGGGAGGAAGGCTTGGGAAAGGCCGATGGATTCTGTCAAGCAGAAGGGTGGTGGTTCAGAACCTAAAGCCATAGTTTCTCTAGTAGAGTGGGCACTGGTGCCTGGCCAGATGGTTTCCGTTTTTTCTCTCTTTTCAATCCAGTTTTAGCACACAGAGATGCCAGATGGAGGCGGGCCCTGCCTTTCACAGAGTAATACACCATCTAAATCATGCCAGAATAGCCTGCCAAGGAAAAAGTATAGCAGACTTCCTACCTGTCAGTGCAGCTAGTGTATGAGCATACACGTGTGTGTGTGTGTGCATACAAAGGGCACGGACACGCACATATGCAGGTTCTTTGGATATATTATATTTCTGTTAAGAATGTTGTCATATGCAGGCTAGACTTGAGGCCTATATTAGTTTGTTAAGGCTGCCATAACAACTAGATGGCTTGAAAACAGAAATTTATTTTCTCACAATTCTGGAGACTGAAAGTTCAAAATCAAGATGTTTGTAGGGTTGATTTGCCTCTCCTTGGCTTGTGGATGGCTATCTTCTTCTTGTGTCATTATATTGTCTTCCTTCTTTGCATGTCTGTGTCCTAATCTCTTATCTCGTAAGGACACCCAGCCCTGTTGGATTAAGGCCCATTTAATGACCTTGTTTTAACTTAATTACATCTTTAAAGACTCTGTCTCCAAACACCATCGTATTCTGAGGTATAAGACATTAACATAAGAATTTTGAGGGGACCCAATTCAGTCCATAACAAGTTCCCACTGGATTTTTAAAATTATTTTTGGTTCTAAATAAATATAATCACTTCAGAGAGATTAATGACTCCCTTATATTCTAAAATGTAACTGATTTGTTTATACAGAATTCGATTAGCCCTTATTATATTGCAGGCTCAAGGGTTACAAAGTTAACTGTAGTGTGGTTTTTGCCCTCAGGGAATTTAGGTGGGAAAGTATACAATTAGACCATGGAAACAAAGGTGAAGGAAGTGCTGAAACACCCACAAGAAGTATATATAAAATCAAGGATCAATGACATCTTTCTGAGACCTGTGATAGAAGATTAATAAAGGAACTCAATTGCAAGCATTCTTTTCTCCAGAGGCCAAATTAAACCATAAACCTTTAGGGATGATAGAGACCTGAAAGATACTTTCTGGTACAGCTCTTCTCTTATGTCACAGAGGTTGAGATGGAACTATGGACCCGTGAAGTAACCTGCCCAGGGTCAAACAACTGAGCAGAGCCAAGAACTCCTGCTAGAGTCAGAACCAGCCTCTCAGATGCTCTGCCATTTCCAGTCTTATAACCTAATTTTCTTACAGCCTCTGGGAATTGCTTTTGGAACTCCGGAAAAAAAACTATTCAAGTGCTACCGTGTACAACTTTTTCTGGAAATTAATTGTGTCTTGGTCCTAAAACAATATTCAGCACGTTTTTAGAAGTAGCTTATTTTAAAATTGTTATCCAGTTTAAAAATAAACACTGACATCCAAAAGGAGAAAACTCAACTGTAACGTAATTTACTATAAAAAGACATTCAAAATACCTACTTAGCACCTGGGAGAACTGCACATTTCCATGTAATGCCAGAAACCACGCCACTGTTTCCCTAAATCACATATTACTGGTCTAGGAACTTCTCCTACATTTTTTGAAGCCTTCATTTAGTTTGCCTTATATCTTAGGAGTAATGAGTTTTCTGTGTTTGAATTAGTTATTTTTATGTTCATCTTATACTTAAATCTTAAGGATGTTTTGAATTTAAGGAACAAATTCATGTTTACCATTGCTATACCATCAGTGATTTCCAGAATCATGATCAAATCCTGTTAGAGTTTTAATATTTTTTGACTGAAGATTATTAATATTATCCATTGTGTTTATAATTGTGACCTGATTTCCTTCCTCACTGGTTTTTCTTCAAATGTCATGACCAGGCACATGCCTGGATTCATATCAGACCAGATAATGCTTTTGGTGTTGCTGAATGTGTTTTTCCCAAAACACATTCCTGGCATTGATCAGAATTTGGGGACATTGTGTATGTTGAGCTGAGGCCTTCCATGCACACTCCCTGTGTTAGTGGGGCCATTCCATCTGGTGCATATTTATGTGAAGGGATAAATTTGCGTGCTGTTCTGCTTGTTTCTGATGTTACACTCTTCTGAAAATGGAGGTGGCCACATGTATCCACCTTCCTATCCCCAGCCAGTCAAGTCAAACTACACTGTATAACATTTGCTGAGAAAGGCTGTGCATCAGAGCCTCTCTTGGAACTAACATCTAAAATAAGCATTTCCTTCCTAGGCTTGAGTGTTTCATAAGTGACATGTGCTTGGAATTTAAAGTAAGTGGTTTTTGAGTAGACCTCATGGAGGCCTGCTAAGTTTGTAACCCTCAACCCCAATCTGCCTCAATAAGTAATATATTGTAGGTGTTTCTTCTGTATCATTTATATTTAGCAGCTATAATTTCAGCAGACTTATTTTGAATATCCTGCCCTCCCACACTGAATCAAGCAAATTGCTGGCATTAAACAGGTGTACTTCAAGGAAGTTGGAAAACCTGGCATAGCATAAGATGAATAGATAAGATGAATATATACCCTTAAGAGTCACTTATTTAACCTACAACCATTTTCTGGCTTAACTGAGCAAAGAAAGTTTTTATTTGAAAAGTGGAAGGAAGATGATATGATTCATGTTCCAAGTGGACTGTTTGGACTTCTCCTAAATTATATTTGTAAACCATGTACATAGGTCATGGCAGAAGGTTTATATCCTTACTTTCATCCATGGATAAGTGCTTTGAACAGTTGTTTGCTATGTACAGAACATTGAGGAGAAATGCATGTGGAGTAGAGGATGTATCCTCAACCTTGAAATTGACAGAGTCCTTGGAGAAAGAAGACATTCAGCTTGCAACAGTTGGAGAATAGTGCAGGAAGGTGTATATGTGAGCTCTAAAATGATAGGAGATTAATGAGGAGATAGAGATGGAACTTTACCTGGGCCTAGAAAGATGCCAAATTTAGAGAGAAAAGAAGAAGCATTGGGAACGGGAGAGAACTCATGCACAGGTAAGGCTTCTGTGGTGGGCCTCAGGCTGAGAGTAGAGGGAAAGAGTGAAAAATAAGATCGACAGCCCTGGCTAGTGTGGCTCAGTGGACTGAGTGCCAGCTTGTCAACCAAAGGCTCACAGATTTGATTCCCATTCAGGACACATGCCTGGGTTGCAGTCTAGGTCCGCAGTTGGGGGCATGCGAGAAAGGCAGCCAAGTGATGTTTCTCTCCCTCTCTTTTATACCTCCCTTCCCCTCTCTCTAAAAATAAATAAATAAAATCTTTTTAAAAATGCATGAGATTTAAAAAACAGAAAACAAGATCAACATAGAAATAACAACGAGATAATTGGGAGCTTTGAGGCCAAGCAGCCTATGATTTGATAAAGACCATAGAGAGGTAGAGTAGGTTCTTCAGCAGGAATGACAAGATGGAAGAGCATATAAATGTTAGCAGAGTGGCTTGCGAACTTTATATCAATGGATCTATCTTCCCCCTGGAGTTTAACCTGTGGAACAGATTAACATACCTGTCATTTTTTATATGTCTGGATTTGTTTGTTTGTTTGTTTGTTTTTTAGCTCTCTCACTGGGTGAAAGAGGTGGGGTTGGGGATGAGAATGGAAAGCATGAATGAATAAGAGAAAATATTAAGTCGACTAATTATTTGACCCAGCAATTCTAAGTATTTACTGAATAGAAATGAAAACATATTCACAGAGAGATTTGCATGTGAATGTTCATAGCAGCTTTACTCGTAATAGCCCCAAACTGGAAACAACCAAATGTCCACTAACAAATGGACAAATGTGGTAACTCCATACAATGGAATACTATACAGTAATAAAAAGGAAAAAACTACTAATTTGTTCAACAACATGGGTAAACCTCAAAAGCATTGTGTTAAGTGGGGGAAGTCACTGTGGCCATGCAGACTTTATATTCTGTGAATTCATTTTATGGCATTCTAGGAAAAGAAAGTATTCTAGGGATAGAAAACAGAGCAGTGGTCTCCAGAGGCTAGGGGGTGGGAGAAGAAATTCAAAGGGACATGAGGGAACTTTTATGGTGAAAGAAATGTACTATA